GTATTTATACTCTTTCAGATGTTTGACTAGCATTTCACGTACTTTTTTCTCCAGTAATAGAGTAGGTGATCTGACTTTGTTGACAATGGTATGGATCTGCATTCCTGATTTGAGTTTTAGTGAAAGCAGAGAGTCTTCCACACAGCAATCTTTATATGATAATTCACAGAAGAATGTTTCATGACAAGATGCAACTCAACCATAATGTGTAGAAATATATGAAGTGTACAATGCCATAATGTTGTATATGCCAAAAAATAAACTTTTCAGGAGAGGTAAAAAACACTTTTTCTAATGAATGAATTCATTTCAATTTTACAATAAAATCATAAAAAACTCACTAGGTTCAAATTCTCTGGGATATCACAATGATATAAATATAAGCCGTAACATTTTAAGCACCAAAAGTCATGTGACTTGAATTCTGGCACTTTAAACATTATATCTTCAAATAAATTTATCTTCAAAATACAGCCACTTACATGCCAATATCACCACAATATTTTTTTTGCAGCGGAAAACATTGCATTTAGAATTCAATTCTTCAATAAAATGTATTTAAAAAAAATGGCATTTACAACATTATGGCATTGCACACTTCATATATCTTTGTTGTATAATCATTTAATATTATATTTTATCATAATTTTATATAGATATATATATATACAGTGGGTGATCGGTTAACGAACAGATCGCATAACGAACAAATCGGATAATGAACACTTTCGCGAAAGATTTTTATGTTCGGACAACGAACACATGATCGGATAACAAACACCCCACAGAACAAACACAAGAAGAAGCGACNCATTTAGACCCACTATGCGGACAATATTTTATAAAGGACTAAACCTAATACATATAAATTTCTGGCAGAATTTAATAACCCTTATGGCTTAACATTACACCTGGATCAATAGATCATCAATATCAAAGCTCATTTTTAGAAAAATATAGTTTTCCAAAATGGGTCCATTTACATAAAAGTTTACTACAGACCAACCAACCCTCATTCTTTATTCCTTTGCAATCTACTGATCCATATGCATATAAAATAGCTGCTTGCTTTCACAGCATTAGTCAAAAGGGCATACACACATTGTACAGATAAGAAAGACACCATAAAAGAAATTAAATACATAAAAAAAAAAAAAAAAAAAAGAAAGGTGGAAAAGAAGCCATGTGATTGGTTAAAAACATGATCTCATGTTCAACACTTCTAAAGAAAATCTAGTACAACATGGTTTCACAACAAATGAAAAAAAAAAAAAAATAGTATACATGGGTACAACAAAAAAATTATAAAAGAAACCTAGTAAAAAAAATTCAAGCAGAACAACATAAGTCACAGTGAAGATCAGACTTTACAATCTCACCTCCCAACACCTAAGTCTAGAATAGCCAAGTACAATTGCAGACTAAATTCAATTTACAAACAAATAATCAAATATTCAAATACCCACATATGCTATCAGAGAAATACTACCATTTACAAATTATTAAGAATGGCAAAGATAAAGTAAACAGCAAAACAGTACCCAAAATATGCTCCAATCTTGTGACAGATGAAAGATTTAACCAACAATTAGTGTATATTAGTTCTACAAATAGATCTTTAACAAGCAGACAGGTGGAACATAAACAATATTGATAGCAGTAATCCAGTAACTACTTTAGAACAATATGTGAGAAAATATTTCTACATGTTAGGTTGACTTGCAGATACCTGCGGTATCTGCAAGTCAACCTAACATGTAGAAATATATATCTTCATTTGTCTTATAATCATTGAATGTTATATTTTATTTATCATTATTATTCATATATATATATAATTATGATAAATAAAATATAACATTAAATGATATATATACACACTATGCTACTTTTTTAAATTACATTTTTAATTACAAACAAGAAATATAGAACATTATAAAAAATTAAATATCTTCACTTATCAAGTAACATTCCAATTTCAAACATTATCAAATTGAAGTTAGATTGGAAATCCAACATAGGCTTATGAAATAAGTGAAAATGTTTGTGTTTCCTGGAAATGCATGAATGGTGTTTATATTTTTAGGTTAAGTATAGTTCCAGCTTTGTTAATCACTTTTATTTTAAGATTTTAACAGTTGTCACTATTTACTCTTTTGAACACAATAAACTTTTAATTATGGCAATTTGATTATTTTTAAAATTTGAAAGAAGTCAACATGTTAAATCAATATATATTATAAAGGTAAGTGTACAATGTGCAAGCCGCTAAAACTCAAAAATGAGTCCCGGTATGATCAAGGGAGTTATATGGTGTGGTAGCCCTCTAACCCCCATCCATGAAGAAGGTTCCTGTTTTTACCTGAAAAGCATGCTATTCAAGATATAAGGACTGGAAGTTTCGCCCTCTAGAAATTTCTAGAACAGTCCAGAACATTCGAGAGTATTCGAGAGCATTCCACAACATTCCAGAATGTTTGGGATGTTCTGGAATGTTCGGAAACATTCCGAAACATCCTAGATCATTGTGGAACATTCCAGAACATTCTCGAATGTTGTGCAACGTTCTGGAACATTGTGGGCCATTCGAAGCCTTTTTTGTATAGGTGGGACTGCCCATTAGTGGGGGTATATAAAGCAAGATCCGTCGTGGGTTCGAACATCAGTTTCTTATCAGTGATGAAGGGAAGAACTGAAAAAAGTGAAAATTCCAAACTAGTGCAGTAAGTGAATAAAAACAGTGAAGTGTGAATAGTCAAAGTGATACAGTGACTGAATATAAACTCTCGAATGTTGTTGACGATATCAACTTTAATATTCAAAAGAAAATTCCTGGTGAGGAGAGAATATACAAATCTATCAACATGATGGTAGACGTTGAAGAAAGTGTCAACTTCCCTACAGAATTTCTAAACTGTTTGCAAGTACCAGGAATGCCATTACACTGCCTTCAACTGAAAATTGGATCTCTGATCATACTACTCAGAAATCCGAACTCACCAAAACTATGCAATGGAACAAGGATGATTGTCAAACAGATATCGAATATCATCATCAAAGCTGAACTTATGACTGGAAACGACAAAGGACACACAGTATTTATCTCCAGAATACCACTGATCTCTACTGAACTGACATTCAAATTTAAAAGACTGCAATTTCTAATCAAATTAGCCTATAGTTTTACAATTAACAAAGTGCAAGGACACACTTTAAAGCATTGAAGCATCAACCTCAAAGACCCTTGCTTCTCTCATGGTCAACTATACATAGCTTGCTCTGGAGTAGGAAATTCAAAAAATTTGTACATATATACCCCGGATAACAAAATGAAAAATGTTCTTTATAAACAAGTATTGTAAAAAGTTAGAATATGTTTTCAATAAAACTTTTTTACCTCTTATATTTTAAAAGTTTATCCTTTTATTCCAACTACCACACAATCTCATATCAACTCCCTGAGCGAAGCCGGGTACCCCAGCTAGTAAATTATAAAACTTAGAATGTTCACTGCCACTATGTCATTGTATGAAATGTTCCTAATACCATTCTCAGTTAGGCATGTAATTGTATGTAATTTGTAATTCAAGACAAACTGATTCATTTGCACATCAAAAACTGTAATTAATACAAACAGGGCAGAAGAACAAATAACTGTTTTTAAAAACTAAGGCTCAAAAGATTATTGTTATGCATCATGTAGACTGAATAAGATGTTATCCTTGTATAATTTATAAATGAAAATAATTCTCCCCTATAAAACATTTTACTGATACTTAAATTGAACAAATCCTACATTGACAGATGATATATTATGCATTATAAAAATTTATAATAAATATTTTAATATTGTACTATATGATAGTCATTTTTACAATAAATTATTCCAATAATTCTCCAAGCAAATTCAGAGCAAATTAATTCATTCAAAACTTCAAACCCAATTTTAAATACAGATAACTTCATATAACACAGTGTAATATATATAATCTCATGTTGTGTAAAATCATGTTAAATAGAACTAATAACCAAAAAAGGGGTTATGTTGCAAAAGCTAACAAAACTGTCAAATTTGCAGAAATAGAAGATCCTGTGGAAACTGCAGTTCTAATTATCTGCTCATTCTTCTTTATAGTCCATGTTTTTAATTCACTTATATTTAAACTTTTTATAACCTGCCATATCTTTTTATATTTTTTAAGACAATCCACAACTTATCTTTGATTCTATCGAAATAAAGTTTCTTTTAAGTAATGATTTTTTTTTCTTTTTGCTTTTGCTGGGCATAATTTAGGAATTTAATTCATAAATTATTCCAGTACTATTCTTAAGAATAAAGCTGCAACATAAACCTGGCAAAAACTTAACCACCAATCAAATGAAAACCAGAATAGCCTTAATAAAGTCTTAATCAATGTGCATACATATTGATAATTTTTTAATAGTCTCAAACAAGCCTAAGTTTAGCAGCATAAAACCTAACAAAAAACTTCCAACAAAATAATATATGGGGATTTTCCAAGTTTTTTCTTCTAACATCTAGCAAATTAACTATGGCATTGACAAAAAAAATGGGTATGTTAAAAAAAAGAACATCTGCACATTATCAGAACAGGGTTTCCCCACAAAAAAACTCAAATATAATGTTATGAGAGAGATTTGTTGCAGTTCTTTAACCATGTTAGAACTTCCATTACAAAGTTCTAATTTATAAAATCATATTTTCATTCTTATTTTATTATTATTCATGCCTTATCTATTTAAAAGAATTTGAAAGGGGATTACATCCCCTTTCAAATTGCAATTACAAACTCTGTCCTCTGAAGCAACTGTTGCTCCTTATGCACAGGATATATGGTAAGATGGGCTATGCACAAATATTTTATTTTCATTCTGACAATTTTCTTTGGGAAATGTACTGTATCAAGTTATATGCAAAAATATGACAATTAAAATTTAAGTTTTGGAAGCTCACAAATCATTCCATATAACGAACTGACCTTTAATATTATTTTGAAGATCCTCCTGTAACTGTGGACCAGCTCGCATTAAAATTCTTTCACTAATTGCATTCTTGTCAGTAAGAACTTCATTAGTTGAATTAACAATAGCTTGAGCATTCAAACAGGATATATCACCAACCCTATCATAAATTTAATTTTATAATCATTTCAAGATCATTAAAAATAGAAAATATTAGATATTGCTAATATTAATTTTAAAATGACAATGCATTCAGTAGATTATTTTAAAGAGGAGTTTTTAAAATGAAAAATCATATACTAAATCTCTGAATATCAGTAAATATCAAAAAGTTTTTAAAATTTAGTTTAAGTATTAAATAGCATCTTGTAATAAATTTAATTTAAATTTTTGTTAGAAAAATCTTTTTAAAAAAAGCTAAATATTTTCAGGTTGTCATTTCATCAATGATCATCAGGGATCAGCAAGAAAAAGTTTACTATTGAAAACTCTGATAATGGGTGTATAAATTTTGGATTTTTCTAAGAAGTTTTTACTCTAACATTAATGACAAAAAAAAAAACAATATACTTGCTTTTAATTTGTATGTTCTATTATTTTTAACATTACATAAAAAAATTAATATTCTGAAGTATTTTATTTAATGTTTATTTTAAATAAGTTGTTCTCTAGTGCTACATTACACTTTTTCAAATAGTTAATTCTTTTATTCAAATGTAATTTTTTTAAAGCTTGAATTGTAATTTGAAAATGTTTAAGCTCTTAATGAAATTTCATATTATATATTTTGTCAATGTGGACATTAATCATTAACAGGACAATTATACTGGTGTTAAGCATTTTTATTAAGTTACCAGGTAGCTTATTAAAGAAAGTCTGTTTTCTTTAAGAACTTTTTCCTCAATTCTTGTGTAAATGCTTAACACCAGTATAATTGTCCTGTTAATGATTAATGTTCATGTTGACAAAATATATAATAAGAAATTAAATAAGGACAGTAAGGCAATAATAATTTTAATGAAATTGTTTCGATTTCAAAAGCAAGACCACAATTACTTTATTAATACAATAGTTATATAGTTATAGTTATTATATTTATTGTATATACAGTAGAGCATCGATTATCCGACGCCCAATCAACCATCACATCGGTTAACCGACCGTTCTAGTCGGCAAATTTCAAATGTCTGCTAGTGATGCGGCACTACAATATTTATCTATGTCTTGGCTACTTTATTATTATTTTTGTTAAATTTTTGCGTGTTTTAGCTGGCAACATGGCTTGACCATTGAAGGGAAGCCAGTATTTAAACGAGACTTGATAATCGATGCTCTACTGTAGTTATAAAAAAAAGTTAATAAACTTTTTTTTATAACTAGCATAATATTACTTACCATAAGGCAATTTTTTTATTAATTTGTTCATTGCATGGAAATGGGGAAGAACTATGAACTTTCTCTTGATTTCCAAACAAACCAGCTTCAGGAATCTCTCTAGGTGAAATTTCACCCCATTTTTTTAGTGTGTAGATATCAACTGTTTCTGGAACAATTCCTAATGGATCCATTGGGCTGTAAGAAAATACAAATATATTACTTATTTTGCATATAAGTGTTTCATTACATAGTGAAAAATTTTTCAAAAGTTATTAATGAATTTAGAAATTATGATAAATTATTAATTTTTAATAAAAAAATATTTAGAGAATTATATTTCTCCTTAATTATATTAATATTCCTTATTAATTAATTTAATGATCACCAACAAAATATTTTCAAATATACAGGGTGTTTCAAAACTATATATCAGAAATATAAAGGCAGGTAGAGGGGACCTAAATAAGCAGATTTTGTATAGGAATGTGGGTGCAGAAATTCAGCGAGAGGGTGTTGTTGAGTTCAGTGGATGAAAGCACTTTGCTGGCTTAAATTGTAATTCCCTGCACAGATTTTGAGCATCATGCATCGTTACACCAATGCAGAGTTTACTGACATGCATTTTATGTATGGGGCTGTGCAAGAAAATGGAGCTGGATGTACTGTACATGGAGCAATTTTTGGGTAGGAATCTGACGGATCACCAAACATTCAAGCGTCTTCATCAGAAGTTTTGCGTGGAAATTGCTCCATGTACATCCATTGAGCAGCAGCTCCATTTCCAATGACAGTCATATCTACAGGCAAACTGTAGATATGACTGTCATTCAAGCTCAAAAAAGAAAAGATTACAATTATAAAAAATGATAAAAAAATCCCACAAGAAAGATTTTGCAGATCAAAGTAATGTGGAATAACACTGTCTGCACAGCTTTTCTTATTGAAAATCAAAAACTATCATATAGAAAATAGTTTTGTTTACATTATTTTGTTTCTTGGTATTATTCATCAATGTTTTTCACATCAATAACAATGTCATCTGCCTTGATCTAGTAATAAAAAGTTTGATATGTTTCAGGAACCCATCTCATCAACGACATAATATTCACTTTATTTTTTTGCAATCAGCAATGTTCCAGTGTACTTTTCTCTCCAGTTAATATGGATGTGTACTAATGCTAGGTTGCATTATTCACAATTGAATACCTTAGAATGCCATAAACTGAGAGTTAGCACGTGTGTCCCCAAGGGCTTCAAATATAGAATTAAATACTCTGTATAACAGCAGAAAGAAGAATTAAAAGATCATCTTTCATAATCTGTTCTTTTACACATACCTCAGGAAGACAACAAAGTAAGTCTTTATTTTGAGGCTCTTCTCCGCCTCAATATGTAAAACATGTTAAAATCATCCCTCTGGCTATGGTGTCAAGATCAACTCTGCCATTTCACTGTTTTGTTCCTGACATTTGTGAAAAAGGGCAGTTTATGAAAATGCTGTTTTATTATTATTATTTTTTTTAACGTTTCTTCTAGTATACAAAATTAATACTTTCTATTTTGTTTTTACTGAAAAGTCTGCTAACATTTAAAAGTAAACAATTTGAAAAAATTTTTAACGTTTCTTCTAGTATACAAAATTAATACTTTCTATTTTGTTTTTACTGAAAAGTCTGCTAACATTTAAAAGTAAGCAATTTGAAAAAATTTTTGACCTAAAAATTGCCAGTCACATGTCCGTCCTCTCAATCTCGAGAAAGATGTTAGCAGATAAAAGTCATGACAAGATTAGGAAAACTTACAATCCGTATGAACCGATTAACTATGCACTAACTTCCCGTATAGAACAGAAGTAACGTGATTTCAGTTCAAATAATTTCCCCACAACGAAGTTACATAAATGATCGGCAGAACTTTATCCATGAAAAACTTACAATATACAGGGGCAAAACACTAATAATTTGAGATCCAGAACCTATATTTTTAATTAAATAATATAAAACTATGATTAAAACTTTTAAGCATGGCATTATNAATATACAGTAGTATTTGCTTATAACGAACCTGTACGGATCTTCAAAACTGGTTTGTTGTGACCACTGTTTGTCATATCAGATAAGAAATAAAACATAGTCTAATTTTGAAAAACTAAAGTTTAATGTCTGAAAGATAAAATATAACAAATTATTACATAAGAAGTTGCCCATTAAAACAATATAAATGCACATTGTTACTTAAAATCTCTCTTATTTTTGTTTGTTGATTTTTGCTAGTTGCATAGCATTCTATAATATATAGTTCCATCTCAGCAAAACTATTTAAAATATTTTGTGGAGTATTTTGTGGCATTATTGGAATGTTGACACTGTCTAATATGTTGTATTGTCATCTTCATTCTCACTAATTTCATTATTTTTGGAAGATACTGAAGCTATATTGTCATCAATAGTCAAAAGTTCCCTGCTAATAACACTGTCATCAACCCTGACATATTCTTCAAAATTGTAGTCAGAAAATGCATCCAGTAACTGCAGAGAGAACACATCTCAAACACCTTTTGTTTCATCATTTGTAAATTCACTTTTCAAAAGTTCATTAATCAAAATGCCATCATCTGAATTTAACTCTTCTTCATTAGTTTGTAAAAAGCCAGCATGTCGAAAACAATTTACTGTTTGTATTGATACATTTTGTCATGTAATATGGATGAAGTTTATTGCATCAAACAATTTTATAGAAAACAATTCTTTGCTATTATCTATAGAAGTTACCATTTTCAAAAGAAGATTTTGCTGATAGCTGTTCTTTAACCCCTTGATCTAAAGTCTGTAGTTTTGAACTTGTATTGGGCAGCATGAACACCAGTATAATTGTCCTGTTAATGATTAATGTTCATGTTGACAAAATATATAATAAGAAATTAAATAAGGACAGTAAGGCAATAATAATTTTAATGAAATTGTTTTGATTTCAAAAGCAAGACCACAATTACTTTATTAATACAATAGTTATATAGTTATAGTTATTATATTTATTGTATATACAGTAGAGCATCGATTATCCGACGCCCAATCAACCATCACATCGGTTAACCGACCGTTCTAGTCGGCAAATTTCAAATGNAATAATAAAATTTTTTGTTTCTTACTTCTGTTCTTCATCCCATTCTTGCAGTTTGCCACAGAAAATGTCACAGGTCATCCAAGTTCTTTGGTTAGATTTGTAGTTTACTGGTATCTGTCAATTTTTGAAAAATCTTGAATTTTTCAAATTTACCAATTACAAACAATTTTCTCTTTTTCATTCCCATAAAATTTGCTGCTAGTAGAACAATAATTCTTCCTTTAGATAACTTTCCTCCTGCACAGCTTTCTCCTTTAAATTTTAGTGTTTTTGGTTTAAGCTTATTAAAGTCTCATTTCATCTGCTTTAAAGATATCACAATCTTGGAAATTTTCTCTAATTTTTGGCCACTTATTTTGCAACCAGTCCTATACCACATCCATGTTTACTGCAGCTGCTTCTACAAAAATTTTTCAGCTTCCAATATTGTCTTTTTGTTTAAATCTCTCAATCCAACTTCTTCTGCATTTAAACTCCGTACTCTTTTCAAATTTTCTTCCTAACTCTTCTACTTTTGACTACAATATAGCATCACTAATAGTCATGTTTTTAAGCCTCTGTTGAGAAAACCATTTTAACAATACTTGATCTAATTCATACACTGATTTTCTAAGCTTTTTAGCATTAAAATTATTACATTCAAAACTCAACTATTTTGCCTTTTTCCTTCTGAATGGTAGCAACAGTTAATTTAGTTATATTCATTTCTTTACATAATCCATTTTGCTTTCACTTTCAAACTTTTTAATAATTTTATATTTAGTCTGTAATATAAATGACTTATGTTTGTGGTTATCATTTAAGAATCATCATATTTCACAAGGATGACTCTTAAGTGATGCATAGTACTTTGTAATTCTGACTTAGCAAATGGCAAGAGTCAATATGCCTCAAGATTACATGCAATTCGTTACTCTTTATAACCAACATCAGTGAATGGAATTTTTCTAACAAATAACAGCATACATTTTAAATTCTGTGACAGTTTGGTTTTGAAATTCAAATTTGAAAAACTGCATTTACACTCAACAAAACAATCGCTGTAATTAATCAGGCTATAAATAGCAAATTTATAGACTGATTAATTTTTAATAATTTATTAAATAATTTAGAACCATCTGGAAGAAACACACAGTAAGTAGAGACTTACTGTGCAGAGTTTTCAGGTTCAAGTCCTGCTCCAGGCTAGTTCTTTTCTTCTAGATGGTTCTAAATTACTTAATACATTATTAAAAATTATTATTATTAATTTAAATAAGAGATGGTGCCTAATGTCTAACTCTAATAACAATTAATATCTAATCATTAATAATAATAAATTTATAGCCTAATTAATTACAGCAATTGTTTGGTATCAATGTATCAGACTTTGGAAAGTTTATTATACTGTATTTACAGTTGAAATTTTCTAGCCAATGAAAAGCATATTTTCAATTTCCAAACGTTAAATGGGTGGAAAATCAAACAAAATCATTTAACTGTCAATAACAGATAAGAAATAACATTTAAAATTAAAAAAACAGCATATGATAACAAATGAAAATTCTCGACAGTGTAAATTTCTAAGTTCATTGTTAATAAGCTGGTAGATAAACCTCAGAAAATACCTTGGTGAAGTAAGAAAACTGGTAGAGTATAAAAATTTATATTTGTGATAAAAAATTAAGTAAATAAATGTGTGCATTGAAATTAGTTAATTAAAGGCAAAAATGCCCAAATTAAGCAACATTTCCTATATTAGGTCATTTTAAATCATGACCTTTCCTTTTGTTTAACCCTTTCACGTCAATCCCATTATGTTATAGGAAAAAAGTTATTTAAAAACCCTAGTAATAACTTGAGAGAATTCTTTCTATGCATAATCTGTTATAAGCAATAAATTTCATTTTTTAAATCCAAATATTTTTCATTATATATGGGTTTGTTGTTCCTTGGATAAAAATAACGTTGCTCTTATGGTTTTTTCATTTGTACTTATAAAATGGGTTTATTATAGTCAAGAGTTCATTATAAGCAGGTTTGTTATAAGTGAACACTACTGTACAATTGACTTATTTTTATATTTGATGATT